CCTGCTCGCTTGGTGTCGCCAGCGCAGTGCCTTCTACCCCTCCCCCTCCCCCTCCTCCTCCTCCTCCTCCTCGTCCTCGTCCTCCTCGTCCTCGTCCTCCTCCTCCTCCGCCTCCTCCTCCTTCGCCTCCTCCTCCTCCTGTGGTGTGCCCTCCTCCTGTGGTCTGCCGGCGCCAAGCCTGCTCTCGTGCGTGTGGGGGGCGTGCTCGCTGCCGCTCAGCCGGCCGCGGGCGCGCTGGGCCTTGGCATCGCTCGGACGTCTGCGCTTTCCTCGGCGAGACCATCCTGGAGCATCTCGGACCACAAAAAACAAACGCGTGAGGCCAAAACAGTGCACGACGGATGGACGTCCGAGCGATGGCAAGACCGGGCGCTCGCACATTCTGTCTTTTCTCGTCTTGCTCCCCCCTCCCAGACATCCAGCCGCTTCAGTGTTTTCGGTGCGTGGGTCCCAGATCCCAGAGGTCTGGACCTCTTCCCTGGGGCCGCTTTTCCGTCCTGAGTAGTTTTGTTGACGGTCTCGAGGGCCGGCGAGGGCCCCCAGAGGCGGAAGATAGCCCAGAAGCTTGCCGCTCCAATTTTTTCGGAACGTCGGATGTCTGGGCTTCTCCCTCGCCCCATCTGCCGTTCGTGCCGCGCCTGCTACCGCTGCTCGCTGGCTGGTGCAGGCCCGCGGCCGCGCCCGCAGAGCAGAAAGTGTGTGTGTGTGTGCTTGCGGCCGCGCGTCTTGCTACTCCGCGCCGCCGCGCGCGCGGCCGCGGCGCCAAAAAGTGCGTGTATGCGTGTTTGAGTTGTGTGCTGTGTGTTGTGTGTATGTGTATGCGTGTGCTGTGTGTTGTGTGTTGTGTGTTGGTATGTGTGCGTGCGCGTGTGTGTGTGTGTGTGTGTGTGTGTGTGAGAGAGGTGTGTTGTATGTGTCCGTGTGTGTCTGAGTGTTTATGTGTGAGTGTGTGTGTGTGTGTGTGCGTGTGCTGTGTCAGTGTATGTGTGTGTGTGTCTGTGTCTATGTCTCTGTGTGTGTGTCTGTGTCTGTGTCTGTGTGTGTGCGCATTGTGTGTGTGTGTTCTGTCCGTGTGTGTGGTAATTGTGTGTGGTAGTTATGTGTGTGTGTGTTTTTAGGGGGGCCTTTTTGTGTGTGTGTGTGAGAGAGAGTGGGAAGGGACGGGTGGGGAGGGCGACTGCGCCCGCGTGGCAGCCTGCGTGCCCTCCGCCCTCTCCCCAGGCCTTCTGCTCCGGCCGCTCCGCGGCGGCTCTGCTCCATCCGCCCGCGCGCGCGGCGACGTTCAAGTCTGCTTTAGCGTGGGACTCCTGGGGCTTCAAAGGTAATTACGCCGGTCCAGACGGGAATTGAAGGGCGCCGCTTGGCACTCGTTGCCTGGGGCCTGGGAGGAGGAGGAGGAGGAGGAGGAGGAGGAGGAGGAATGAGCACGGAGGAATGAAAATGAGGAAGGTGGATTGAGGAGAAATGAGGAGCGACGCGGAGCATGATGAGGATGAGCGGGAAGGAGGAAGACGAAGAGGACGAGGTGGCTGAGGAGGGGGAGGACGAGGACGAGGGAATGATGAGGACGGGGAGGTCGCAGAGGACGGCTTGTCGCTTCAGCTGCCAGTGTGTGTTGGCCGCCGCCCTCTGCTGGAGCGCAGGCGTCGGCTCGCTGTGGTACGCGCCGCCGGAGTTGAACCCGCCGGCGCTGCGCCCCACCCGCCATCGCGCTGGGAGGAGGGGGGGTCACGGCTCGCACAACGGGTGTGTTCGTCGGCTCCTGGAGGTTGGAGCCGTCCAGGGGTCCGAGGTGGCCCAGCGCTGGTTCTGGCCAGCAGGCGGGGCGGGGAGGTTCGAGGTGCTGGGCTCGAGCATGGTTTTGGCCTTTTCCGGCCTCTGGGAGCCGCTTTTGGGACCCATGATCGTCGACAACGGGCTTGGGGTGAAAAATTGGACCAGATGGATCCCAGTAGGGGTCCAGGGATTGTTTTTCATCGGATTTGGCCTCATCCACCCCCTCCTGACCAAGTGGGGCCCCAAACAGTGCAGAACCCCACCGCCGCCTCCAACGTGGAGGTCTTCCTGCTTCGGGATCCGGGCCAGCAGCTGCGCCTCGCCGAAAGCGTCCCGGGGGTGTCCGGAATAACCCCAAAGCCAAACGGCCGCCGGAGATCCGGACGGGCGTTTAGGGGGGGAGGAGGAGGAGGAGGAGGAGGAGGAGGAGGAGGAGGAGGAGGAGGAGGAGGAGGAGGAGGAGGAGGAGGAGGAGGAGGAGGAGGAGGAGGATGAGGAGGAGGAGGAGGAGGATAGGAGGAGGAGGAGGAGGAGGAGGAGGAGGAGGAAAAGGAGGAGGAGAAGGAGGAGGAGGAGGACGAGAAGGAGGAGGAGGACGTGGAGGAGGAGGACCAGGAGGAGGAGGAGGAGGAGGAGGAAGAGGAGGAGGGAGGACGAGGGTCCGCGGCGCACACGGGGGGCTGTGCGCGAGTGGGGCTGCCTTCTAAAGAGGTGGGGTCTTCTCAGTATCTGATGGCATGTTTTTTTTGTCCGCGGCCCCAAGAGGTCCCCACCATTTGCCCGAGGACAGTGTCTCGTCCCAGGTCCATTTCGAATAGTCCTGGGGCCCGAAGGTGGCCCCAGGAGGCCGAAAGAAGGGAAAGCCGCCAGGATCAAAACACATCAAACCGCCCCAAGTTCGGGAGGAGGCAATGGGCCTTCTCAGAGGGGCCTCTCTGCTTCCAAGAAGGCTTCTCTCTGAGGAGCCAGGAATCAGGAGTGGAAAACAACATACACACACAGACAACTAATCGCCGATTCCCCGGAAAATCAGGAATCAGGAGTGGAAAACAACATACACACACAGACAACTAATCGCCGATTCCCCGGAAAATCTGGGAGAGATGGGAAGTGGGGGGGTGGGGGGGAAGACGAGACTCCAGAGAATATAGGAAAACAACTAAGGATTTGTGTGTATTTGTTTGTGTGTCCCTGGGCTTCCTCAGGGAGGCCTGCTTCTGAGAGGCCTTTGGCCTGCCAGGGAGCCCCCCTCCCGCCACCCCCTTGGCAAGACCGCTCCCCTCGCGCCCCCCCCCCCCCCCCCTGTGCGCGCCGCCAGCAGAGATGATGGAGGAGGATGGTGGTGAGGAGGATGAGGATGAGGAGGAAGAAGAGGAGGATGCGGAGGAGGAGGGGATGGAGGAGGAGGAGGAACAGGAGGAGGAGGCGGAAGAAGAGGAGGAGGAGGAGGGGATGGAGGAGGAGGATGGTGAGGAGGAGAAGGAGGAGGAAAAGAAGAAAAAGAAGAAGAGGAGGATGAGGGGGAGGGGGGGATGGAGGAGGAGGAGGAGGAGGAGGAGGGGGAGGAGGAAGAAGGATACTAATAATACTACGAAGAAGAGGAGGATGATGATGAGGAGGAGGAGGAGGGGAGGAGGAGGAGGAGGAGGAGGAGGAGGAAGGGGAGGAGGACTCTTGAGGTCCTGAGGCTTTTTTCAGAGGCTCTCCCCATTCCGTGGCCGTTCAAAGGCCGTAAGGTGTGATGAAGGTCCTGGTGGGCTCCGCGGAGAAGACCGCCGTGGCCCGCACTGCGTGAGGAGGAGGAGGAGGAGGAGGAGGAGGAGAAGAGGAGGAGAAGAAGGAGGAGGAGGCGGGGAGGGGGAGGGAAGGGGAAGGGGGAGGGGGAGGAGGAGGAGGAGGAGGAGGAAGGAGGAGGAGGAGGAGAAGAGAAAGAGAAGAGGAGGAGAAGGAGGAGGGGGAGGAGAGGGGAGAGGAGGGGAGAAGGAGCCGACTATACCAGCCACAGAGGAGGAGAGGAGGAGGAGGAGGAGGAGGAGGAGGAGGAGGAGGAGGAGGAGGGGGAGGGGGAGGGGGAGGAGGAAGAGGGGGAGGCGGATGAGGAGGAGAAGGAGGGAGGAGGAGGAGGAGGGAGGAGGAGGAGGAGGAGGAGGGGGAGGAGGAGAAGCAGGAGAGGAGGAGAGGAGGAGGAGGAGGAGGCTCGGGGATCGAAGCTGCGGGTTGTCGCTCGCGGGTCGAGATGTTCGGGCGTTTTTTTGGGGGGGAGGGGGGGGGGCCTTGTCGGGCCTCGGGGGGAGGGGGGTCCTGGTGGGCACGGCTGGAGTTTTAGGCATGACGCGTTCCCGGAGATGTCCGGGCGTTGGAGTGGAGGGGCAGCGGGAGGAGGTTCCGCTTGGCATCGCTCAGGCGTGTGCGTTTTTTCTCGGCGAGGCCAGCGCCGGAAGATCTGGACCATCCGGAGGGTCTGAGCCATCACTAACAATAACAACAACACCACCACCTCCAACAACAACACCACCAACTGCAATAACGAGAGTGTTAAGACTGTTCGTTCTTATCTGCTCGCGCGCCCACCCAACACGCACATCCCACATCCTCGATGCCCGCCCCTTCGTCTTCGATCGCAGCCCCCTGGGGTTGGCTCACCTTTAGAAGACGGAATTCTAGCGATGCATGGGGAACGGAAGTCCGAGCGATGGCAAGTCCGAGACTCGGAGAATGAAGGTTTTGTCTGTTCAGGCTGTGCCACCCGGCGAGGCCCCCGCGCTCCGCGGGGCCTTCCGGGAAAACGCCCGGTGCATGGGACTCGCGGGAGGCTTCTCGTGGGCCACGGTTAGATCTGCCTCGATATCTTGGCCTTGACGGGCCCCAGGAGGGTCGTTGTGTGGTCCTTCATGGGAGCCTCAGAGGGTCCCAACATTCTTTGCGGGTTGGTCGACATTTAGACAACATGTGGAAGACATCCCGACGAAAGGACGAAGAAGGGTGCTCGAAATTTGGGCGACATCCGGTCGACATCACGTTTATGATATGGCTGCGGATGTCCACAGATGTTCCCATGAAGGCTCACCCAGGGGTCGGCAACCGATGGCCAGGACCTCTGCAAAGACACAGGGTCGCACCAAAAGCATTCATCCGTTATGATGTTCTTTTTCCAGAGGCCGCGATTTGTAGATGTAGTTTCGACGTCCATCTTAGCATTGGTATTAACCGTCGTCCGAGGCGATCAATCGCTCAAGCCATTTACTGTCTTGCCATCATTTCCAACCATAGTTGATTAGTGCATTCACCATGTTTAATGGCCCATGGACGCCTTGAGTCACTTGCCACTCGCGCCACATATTGATGAACTGTTGAAGGACTTGTTGTGCCAAGGCCTAGGCTGGGCCAGGACCACTTCCATGGGGACTACAGATCCTCAACTTGAAAGGAATTCGGGGGTATAGAATTGAGGCTGAGCGCACTTAGACTATGCTTGGTTATGTGTGCCATGTGAAGCTCGCATGTAGACTTGATATGATCCGTAGTTTGAAGTCGTGCGCTTTGCATTGTTTCAAGCGAACTGGATCGAGCTTTTATGTGGGGTAGTCGACTGTACGTGGAGGGCTGGCAATCGGAGCTCACTTAGGTGTGCAAGGATTGAGCGCGACAGGGGGGCGTGTTTGCCCTTGTCTGTGAGTTCAGGTCAGGGCAGGTCAACGCGCATCGCTTGGCCCAGGGGTCTTCGCTGGAGATGCAGATGTCGCACTCATGCAACATGATGGAGCGCATTGTTAGTCCTGATTATTGCAGGCTGTTGTACATACGCCTCTACCGACATTCTTCGTCTAAGATGCTTTGCCATCGGACGGGGGACTCTGAACATGTCGCATCAGCTCTGGAGAGGCAGTGTATAAGTAGCTGATTGATCGAGAGCGTTGTGGCTCAGGCGTTGGTTTCTGCTTTGTCCAGCCTTTGTTCCAATCAAGCTTTGAAATAGTGTCTTCCCACGTCGGGGCCTCATGGGGGACGTTGGGAGCTTTAAGCCCTTCAACGCCTACATCGTCGAGGCTTGCAGGACGCCTTCCTGCAACCCAAACCATACAAGGCCACTGGCAACTGTCATCAGCTCGAGATGTTATTCAATCATCATCCTTCAACTTGAGACCTTGAATCATCCAATGCTAACTTATCCACGCTTTCAGGGCGCATCCCTGCAGCCAATCTGGACCTAGCATATGATTCACAGGAGGCTTCTGGCTACCGCTGCTGCCTTCTGTTCCGTAGTTCGCGGTCTGATGTTGGAGGTAATGCTTTTCCATTCCTCCCTAACTCATCTTCCTCCCTCAGCCTCACTCCTCCCTTCCCCTCCCTCTCTTGTCGTACCCTCGACCCTGACATCCTCCTCCTCCTCCTTCTCCTCAATCTCCCGAAGCATCCTCCGTCGTGTTTTTTTTCGCTGCGTGGTTCTCCTGAGGACTGGACCCCTTCCTCTGGACCGGCGTTTCATGCTGAGTCGTTTCTTGACGGCCCCGGGTTCGCGTGAGGGCCTCAAGAGGCCGAAAAGGAGTAGCCATTTTCTGTCGTGTTTTCTGTATTTAAAACAAAAAACGATATGATGCCGAGTCCGTCATCCCCCCTCCTGTCTCCTCCCCCCTCCTCTTGCCCCCTGCATCCCTCCTCCTGGCGTACCCTTGGCGTGGGCCTCTGCACTCCGGTCGGTGCGCCTGCGACGTCGGCACGTCTTGTGTCCGCGGCCCTTCCAGGAGGAGGAATGCAAGAGGAGGAGGAGGAGGAGGAGGAGGAGGAGGAGGAGCAGGAGGAGGAGTAGGAGGAAGAGGCGGAGGAGGAGGGGCCGACTTTACCAGCCACCGGATCCTTCCATGTATGGTTGTACTTCCGTGCGTGCGCGATCGTCCGTGCAGTCATTGTTGGCTTCTGTCGTGGGCTCGCAGGTCGCAGCTCGCAGGGGCGCGACTCGCGACGGTGCCTGGCGCACGAAGGGGGAAGGCTGTTCCCAGGAGGGCAAACTTGATTATGCACCGCGCGGAGGGTAGGAGGTGGGGAAAAATCTCCGTCTCAACTGCAACCGCCTCGGGCGGCTGATGGATCTTGCTGCCCTTAACATGGCGCTTGTCTGATCGGGCTCCAGCGTTTCTGGCCCATCATCGCAATGGATCTGAGGATCTTCTCGTCGTCCCCACCTCTTTTCCCGTGGCCAGCCCCAGAACGGGTCCTGTGTCGTCCAGGGGTCCGAGGGCCGAGCTCGCGTCCTCGGCGGAGGACGGCGGATGCCGCTTCACCAAAGGTCAAGTGCGACCGTATTCAGGCGTGTCCGGTCTGGCCGCTTGCGCCGGGTTTTCGCAGACGCATTCCAAGCAAGACAGCGTCACTCGTCGTTGTGTGTTGAGGATGTTTGTGACAGTCGCAATACCCATATAGATAGCGAGCAGGACGCATACATAGATGTGTGCAGCACGGGTGCAGACACACGCACGCTCGCGCACACGTTTTGCGAAAGATGTATCCGTTGCGTTCAGCCCACAAGGTTCTGATAGGAAAAGTGCGGTCGACAGAGCCCAGGGGCGCAACAGATAGCCTCGGCGTAATTTTCACTTGCGTGCGCTGGTGAGAAAGAACATGCCCGGCATAGTTTGAAAGCATGGCGCCGCACATTGCCTCTGCACCGCCGCTGGCGATCTGCTCTGCGACCAAACCACATTGGCTTTAATATCGGCGCCCGCGGCGGGCAGCTTGCAATAGCCATGGAGAACAACGAGTGCACTTGCCCAGACGACCCGTTCCAAGACCCACACACGTTGCGAAGCGTGGGTTGATTGCTCTGCACCGACAAGGCAGTCTGAGCGCAAATCCCATTCTACATGCAATTTCGGGGTCCTGGGCAGTGGGGGCTCCGCAGTAGGGTCGCAACCTAACTACGAGGTTACAGGGTCAGGTATATTCACATCATGTCGTGGGACAGCATTGTGCCGTGATGAAAGATTGCCCCGTTTTGACGGGTCAACAAAAGTGCATACATCCTTCGTCCGCAATGCGAGCGCACGTCGCTAGTCGCACCGCTAGGGACGTGGAGCCTGGTACACTGTTACGGGGGAGGTGCCTCGCAACCGGGGCAGAGGGCAACCTGGGGCTTGGTACCCTAATTAAAAGTTGTATTACGCCAAACGGGATGGCGGTTCGAAAACAGCGAACCGCGTGGGACATCCTCACACAATTTGTTGTCCTGACGATTCGAACTCGGTTCGAAACAACGGAATCCGATTCAAAACAAAAGCAAAACGAGCGTTTCGCGTGGGATTTCCTCCAGAATAAGGCGTCGGACCGGGCTCGAAACAACATAATGGCGGTTCAAAAACGGCAAACCGCGTAGGATTTCCTCACACGAATTGTTTTTTTTGTCGGTTCGAACTCGGTTCGAAACAATGGGATGGCGGTTCGAAAACGGCAAACCGCGTGGACATCCTCACAAACATTGTTGTTCTGACTGTTCCAACTCGGTTCGAAACAATGGGATGGCGGTTCGAAAACGGCAAACCGCGTGGGACATCCTCACAACAATCGTTTTTTTTTCTGACGGTTCCACGTCGGTTCGAATCAATAATATCCTGTTCCAAACGGGTGGAAAACAAGCGTTTCGCTTGAGACTTCCTTGAAAATACGCTTGGAAACCAACGGCCGCGTCGACGACGACTACGACGATATGTGTTCTCGCCTCGCCGCTGGCCACGCTTGACCGCGTCTCGGTCTGGCCGACCGCTCTCCCTTCAGCAAGGAGGGAGGGGGACGTGTCGGGGGGAGACAGCGCCACCCTTCCCGGGGGGACATACTGCTTTCACCCGCCAAACACAGACATTTAGGAGCCAAGCCGCCCGTCAGGGTTACTATTTGCCTGTGTCGCTTGTTCGGCCCTGGTTCCTGTTGGAACCCATCTGTCTTGAATCAGTTCTCCGGCTTCCTGTTGTTTGCCAAGTATTTCTCCGTATCCTAAGATGGGGTTCTTGTTATTACCGTGACGCTTCTTACTTCTTCTTCTCCTTCTCCTTCTCCTCCCATCTCCTCCTCATACCCAGACTTACTCATACACAGACTGACTCACACTCAGACTTACTCATACCCAGACTTACTCTCACACACACACAATATGATTCATACTCAGACCTACTCATACTCAGACCTACTCCTACTCAGACTTACTCATGCTGAGACTCACGCACGCCCCGATCGCGGCCGTTTTGTGGGGATGCCTCAAGCGGTTTGCCTGTTTTCTGTCCCAACATCTTTCGCTTTCGGAGCAGATTTGGAGGATGTCTCGAGCGAGGCGCTCATTTTCACGTCCCTAAGGGGAGCCGCCGAGGGATATTGCACGGTCCCGTTCGCGGCCGTGTTGTGGGGATGTCTTAAGCGGTTTGCTTGTTTTCTGTCCCAACATCCCTTGCTTTCGGAGCAGATTTGGAGGATGTCTCGAGCGAGGCGCTCATTTTCACGTCCTTCAGGGGAGCCGCCAAGGGGTATTGCACGGTCCCGTTCGCGGCCGTTTTGTGGGCATGTCTCAAGCGGTTGGCCTGTTGTCTTTCCCAACATCTTTCGCTTTCGGATCAGATTTGGAGGATGTCTCGAGCGAGGCGCTCATTTTCACGTCCCTAAGGGGAGCCGCCGAGGGATATTGCACGGTCCCGTTCGAGGCTGTGTTGTGGGAATTTCTCAAGCGGTTTGCTTGTTCCCCATATCCTAAGATGGGGTTCTTGGTATTACCCTGACGCTTCCTACTCCTTCTCCTTCTCCTTCTCCTCCCCTCTCCTCCTCATACCCAGACTTACTCATACACAGACTGACTCACACTCAGACTTACTCATACCCAGACTTACTCACACACAATATTATTCATACTCAGACCTACTCATACTCAGACCTACTCATACTCAGACTTATTCATGCTGAGACTCACTCATACCCAGACTTACTCATACTCAGGCCTTCTCATTGTCTGACTTACTCTACACACAGCAGAGTGTGCGGATGTCTCAGGCTGGGCGCTGGTTTCAGCACCCCTAAGGGGAGCCGCCAAGGGGTATGACACGGTCCCGTTCGCGGCCGTTTTGCGGGGATATCTCAAGCGGTTTGCTTGTTTTCTGGCCCAACATCGTCCGCGTTCGGAGCAGAGTTGGAGGATGTCTCGAGCGAGGCGCCTTATTCACGCCCCTAAGGGGAGCCGCCGAGGGGTATGACACGGTCCCGTTCGCGGCTGTTTTGTTGGGATGTCTCAAGCGGTTTGCGTGTTTTCTGGCCCAACATCTTTCGCGTTCGGATCAGGTTTGGAGGATGTCTCGAGCGAGGCGTTCATTTTCACGCCCCTAAGGGGAGCCGCCGAGGGGTATGACACGGTCCCGTTCGCGGTCGTTTTGTTGGGATGTCTCAAGCGGTTTGCGTGTTTTCTGGCCCAACATCTTCCGCGTTCGGAGCAGAGTTGGAGGATGTCTCGAGCGAGGCGCTCAATTTCAATTCCCAGGTGGGCCAGATTTTGAGGATGTTTCGTTCGGTATGCGTGTTTTGGTGGCTAGACTCGTGGGCGCAGATTCTTCGCAGGATGCCACAGGAGGCTCCAGCAGACTCCAGGATGCCCTAGGAGACCACATGAGGTCCCAGGAGGCATCAGGAGGCCGCAGACAGATTCAAGAGGCCACAGGATGTCCCAAGATGCTCCAGGAGGCCCCAGGAAGCTCCAGGAGGCACCAGGAAGCCACAGGAGGCCCCAGGAGGCCACAGGACGCGGCAGGAGAATTCGGAAGGCAACAGGAGGCTCCGAGAGGCCCCAGGAGCAGGAGGCCTCAGAAGGCAACAGGAGTGGCTCCAACCCCATGTGCTTTACGTATGCTCCTATAGATTGGGCCTCACCTGGAGCACGAATCCTTGACGTAATAGAGCCGTGCGTTGCGCACGGTTAGCTTTGACATTAAAAAAAAGTTGCTCCAATCCACAATGTTTTATTACGTCGGTTGCTATATATTGGGCCTCTCCTGGGGCACGAAGCCTCCATGGGAGCTCCCAGGAGGCCCCGGGAGGCCCCAAGAGGCCCCTTGAGGCCCCAGGAAGCCCCAGTAGGTTTCTTCAGGAGGCCCCAGGAGGCCCCAGGCGCATGCGCAGAGACGCGCTCGTACTACTGAGGCTCATTCACACCCCAAGTCGTTCGCAGTCAGATTCATGTCCAGACCGTCACAACTGAAGCCCGTTTATATTGGAAAGTTCTTGCGCCTAGACATTCACGGCGGACAGGTCCACGCGAATATATGCACATATCGGGAGCTCCACGCAGTGAATAATTTTCTGTCCCAACATCATTCGCTTTCGGAACAGAGTTGGAGGATGTCTCGAGCGAGGCGCTCATGTTCACGCCCCTAAGGGGAGCCGCCGAGGGGTATTGCACGGTCCCGTTCGCTGCCGTTTTGTGGGGACGTCTCAAGCGGTTTGCTTGTTTTCTGTCCCAAGATCGTTCGCTTTCGAAGCAGATTTGGAGGATGTCTCGAGCGAGGCGCGCATTTGCACGTCCTTCAGGGGAGCCGCCGAGGGGTATTGCACGGTCCCGTTCGCGGCCGTTTTGTGGGGATGTCTCAAGCGGTCTGCTTGTTTTCTGTCTCACCATCCTTCGTTTTCGTAGCAGGTTTGGAGAGTGTCTTGAGCGAGGCGCTCATTTTCACGTCCTTCAGGGGAGCCGCCGAGGGGTATTGCACGGTCCCGTTCGCGGCCGTTGTTTGGGGACGTCTCAAGCGGTTTGTTTGTTTTCTGTCTCACCATCCTTCGTTTTCGGAGCAGGTTTGGAGAATGTCTCGAGCGAGGCGTTCATGTCCACCCCCCAGGTGGGCCAGAGTTTGAGGATGTCTCGATCGGTTTGCTTGTGTTGGTGGCCAGGCTCGTGGGCGCAGATTCTTCTCAGGATGCCACAGGAGGCTCCAACAGGCTCCAGGATGCCCCAGGAGACCACATGAGGTCCCAGGAGGCATCAGGATGCCGCAGAAAGACTCAAGAGGCCACAGGATGCCCCAAGAGGCTCCAGGAGGCCCCAGGAAGCTCCAGAAGGCCTCAGGAAGCCACAGGAGGCCCCAGGAGGCCACAGGAAGTGCCAGGAGGCCTCGGAAGGCAACAGGAGGCTCCGAGAGGCCCCAGGAGCAGGAGTCCTCAGAAGGCAACAGGAGTGGCTCCAACCCCATGTGTTTTACGTATGCTCCTAATAGATTGGGCCTCACCTGGAGCACGAGTCCTGGATGTTATACGTGTGTTTCTATAGATTGCCTTTTCCCTGTGAACACAACCCTACATGTTTTACTTATGTTCCTATAGATTGGGCCTCTTCTGGGGCACGATTCCTCGGTGTTTTACGTGTGTTCCTATATACTGCCCTTCTCCTGTGGCTCGACTCCGCAATGTTGTATGTACGTCTGGTGCTATAGATTGGGCCTCTCCTGGGGCACGAAGCCTCCCTAGGAGGTCCCAGGAGGCCCCAAGAGGCTCCTGGAGACCCCAGGAAGCCCCAGTAGGTTTCAGGAGGCCCCAGGAGGCCCCAGGCTCATGCGCAGAGACGCGCTCGGCTCATTCACACTCCAATTCATTCGCAGTTAGATTCATGTCCAGACCGTCACAACTGAAGCCCATTTATATTCGAAAGCTTTTGCGCCTAGACGTTCACGGCGGACAGGTCCATGCGAATAGATGCACAAATGGGGAGCTCCAAGCACTGAATCATCTTTTTTGGTTTGACCCCGGCCCCAATCCAGCGGTACAAACTCCATTTTCTAGCAGTAAATGCCGCGCGAGTGGTCGCAACAGTAATCCATCCACTTCGTCCTCGCTGCAGTTTTTGGGGCAATTTGGGGGAAGGAGGTGTGGAAGGATGAGGGAGGAGCTTGCATCGATAACCATCAGGGTTTACTGACATTGTTGTGCTCTGCGTACTTGGACTGCTTGTCAGCAGTGATGTTCACTGGCAATGTGGCGTTCACTGGCGACGGGGTGCTCACACTCACAGTGGTGCTCAGGCGTTGCTGGACTCGGGTGGTGTTGATCCGGCTCCGAGGCCCCAGCAGTCAAGACATGGCCTTCGAGCAGTAAATGCGCGCGTGGTCGCAACAGGCTCGATTCTTATCGCAAGCACATTCCAAATGTATCCAGTTTGTCCTCGCTGCAACACTTAGGACATGTTGGAGGGAGGAAGGGTGGAAGGATGAGGGTGGAGCTTGCATCGATCAACTTTCAGGGCTTATCGATGTTGTTGTTGTGCTCTGCGTGCCTGATGTTCACTGTCAAGGTCCTGGCAGTGTGTTCAGAGTCACATTGGTGCTGAGGCGTTGTTGGACTCAGGCAGTAATGATCCAGCTCAGGCCGAATCCAAGAGGTAAACGACTCTCTTGGAAGAAATGCGCGTGCCGTCGCGACAGTGTCGATTCCCAGCGCAAATCCAATACACATTCGTCCGGTGTGTTCTCGCTGCAACTTTTGGGCCAAGTTGGAGGGAGGAGGGGTGGAAAGATAAGGGAGGAGCTTGACCATGTTGTGTCTACAGGCATCTGGGTGCGCTCACTCTCACTGTGGTGCTCAGGCGCTGCTGGGCCCAAGTAGCACTGACTGTCTTCTGGTGCAGCCAGCTCCACACCACAACGACATCGATGAAAGCACCTCATGCCACAACAGCGTTTGGATGCATCGATGCCATTATTCCGGCTACGCCAAAAAAGGGCAACACTTTAATCACGCCCATGTAGGTGGTAATCGGAGTTTATATGAGTGGTTGGTTGGAGCACTGGTTTGTCTTGATGGACAATCTGTCCACTCCCATGTTTGACGCGAGCTGTATTATGTATCCTTGTCGCCGGGGGGCGACGACGAGGGAGGCGGATGGGTTTCTAGGACGGCTGCGGGCAAGAAGAAGGGCAGCCTCTCTGGGTACCACCCCACCGACCTTGGCGCGGCGGTCTGTGACGCCCTTGTGGAGCGCACGAAGATAGACGCCTCACTGATCGAGGACGTCATCTTCGGCTGCGTCAGCCAGGTGGGTGCACAGGCGGGCAACATCGGCAGGGGCGTCGTGCTTGCCTGCAAGAGAATTCCTGAGTCCGTGCCCGGAACGACGATCGATCGCCAGTGCGGTTCGGGCCAGCAGGCCATACACTCAGCTGCCCAGGCCGTCATGAGTGGCGTGCACGACTGCGTCATTGCCGGGGGCGTGGAGGTCATGTCGCAGGTTCCCATCGGCTCCAACATCGTCGATGGCTTCAAGGCCGGGCACGGCATGCCCATGTCCGAGTCGGTGCAGGAGAAGTACCGCGAAAGCTTGAAGCAGTTCGAGGAGTTCGACATCAACCCAACGCAGTTCAGCCAGTTCGGAGGCGCGGAGCTGCTCGCCAAGAAGTACGGCCTCTCCAAGGAGGACCTGGACAGGTTCGGCTCCACATCGCACCAGCGAGCCCACGCCGCTACGAAGGCAGGCAAATTCCAGGCCGAGGTCGTCCCAGTGCCGGTCAAGGCGTCCAGCGGAGAGTCGACGGGCATGCTGACAGAAGACGAAGGCCTTCAAAGAACAAAACAAACTTGATATCCTCTCGTTGTAAACCGAATCACGACGGGAGGTTCTCGCTGGGCCCCAGGACCATCAGAGATCGATTCATGTTGAAATGTTTTTCCTGGGGAAGGGGTCCAGACCTTTGGGGAGCCACTTTTGGTGAAAAACACGACGGACGATGTCTGGGAACGGCATAAACATATTTTGTCGGAGGTCCTCACGGATCTCTTGGATCGGCGCTGGGCCCCCCTGGCGGCGCCTCTGGCGACGATCCAAGAAGTCCGCGCGGAGCTCCGGGAAATCATGTGTCTTTGCCAGTTCGGAGTTCCTACAGGCGTGCGCCCTGGCGCCACGTACGAGGCCACGGCCAAGCTGAAGCCTCTGTACAAGAATGGCGTCATCTCGCCGGCCAACGCCTCGCAGATCAGCGACGGTGCCTCCGCGCTCCTCATCTGCAACGAGCGCGGCCTGGAGCGGCTGGGGCTGAAGCCACGGGCGAGGATCTGCGCACAGGCGCTGGCCGGAGACGACCCCGTGATGATGCTGGAGGGGCCCATCCCAGCCTCGAAGACCTGCCTGGCGAAGGCATCCTTTGCTGTTCGGGGTTGTTCTCATCCTCTGGCGCGCAGCGGTCGTTGCCCGCGCCCCCCCCCCCCCCCCTTCCCCAGGGGATGGGGTAACAGCTGGCGCGGGGGCATGGACCCCCCCCTCCGCCACATGCTGGTGCTCCCCCGCCGCCATGCGCCCCCGACCCGACGTGCCCCACCCCGACCAAGCGTCGCCGCGGCCCGTGTGGCCCCAGCACCCCGCCCCCGGGGTCAACGACCGTTACCAGACGTGCAGCGGGGGCCCATGCCCAGAAACACCCTGCTTGCCTCCAGGGTGCCCTGGGTTTCATGGGTTTCGATGGTGTTGCTGTGGAAGGCGCGACGTTCCCACACCAAAATCAATGGACACTCTGGGGTCTCGGGGTTGGGTTTCTTGTGGAAGGTTTCTTGTGGTCGGGCCTCCACTGTAAGAAGAGCAGAGCTTAGGTAATGGTGAGGGGAGGTCCGACTTTCGGCTTCCCGCCGCCTCGCTTCTCTCCGCCGCGCGCGCGTGAGCCCTGCAGCAAGTGTCCGTCCACGTTCTGGGGTCTCCGCTGAAGGGGCCCGCGTGGACCTGACATCGGCCCTGGATCGCCTTCGGTTGCGAATCAAGGGAGCCTTCTGCCGGGGAAGCGTAAGACTCGAGTTCCCCGGAACTCGGGTTCACAAACGCTTTTTGAAGGTCGCGTTCTGAGTTTTGACGGTCCATGTTTTTGCACCAGGAGCTCGCGTCAAATTTGAGATTGGGTCAACCCGAGCCCCCGAACCCGAGCCTTACGTTTCCCCGACTGCACTCCCGCGTGGCTCCGTCTCGAGAGTGCCTTGGCGCCGCTGGGACAGCGCCGATTCGTTGTCGATGGGCGTCGATTGAGCGTCGAGCAGCGCGGATTCGCAAGGGCCTACGGGATGGTGTGGTACGGTAGGTTTGCGTCGTGTCGACCAGCGGCGACCCCGCCGCGGGCGTTCAAGGTTGAACGCCGCCAGTGGCCCAGAATCGGCCTATATGGAACGATCGGGCGATCGAAAAGCCGCCGATCGTTCAAGGTTGAACGATCCACGCGGTGTCAAAAACCAACGCCAGGGTCGTCACGACACGAACTTGCCGTAGGCTCTCACGAGCGATCGGGGATCGGATCGCCCATTCCCTGCGGATCGGGGACCGGGTGCCCCACCCTGCCAATGAGAGCGTGCGGTCTCGCTGTCGGGTAATTACGTTCTCGGGGGCCTCTCGCCGATCCGTGAGCGAGGCATCGCCGATCCCCGATTCAATGCACCCCCCCAATGAGCCAGTACACTGGAGACCCATGCCAAGAAGCACCCTGCTTGCCTCCAGAGTGCCCTGGTTTTTTGGGGGTTCGATGGGTTTGCTGTGGAGAGCGCGGCGCTCCCGCACCAAAAAATCAGTGGGCGTGCTGGGGTCTCAGGGTTGGGTTTCTTGTGGAAGGTTTCTTGTGGTCTAGCCTCCACTGTATTCCCATTTTCGCTCTCCCTCAACATGTTGTTGTCCTGGTGCCATTTGGTATCCCGAAGGCGGGGCTCGCGATCAAGGACATCGACCTGTACGAGGTCAACGAAGCGTTCGCGCCCGTGCCGCTCGCGTGGTGCAAAGCGCTGGGCGCCGACTTCGAGAGGCTCAACGTCAACGGGGGCGCAATGGCCCTCGGCCACCCTCTGGGCGCGACCGGCGTCAAGCTGATGACCACTCTGCTGCACGAGCTGGAGCGCCGGAAGGGCCGGTACTGGAGTCAGCATCGCCAAACCAATCCCCATCCCCATTGGGCCGTGGCATCCCGGCCCCACCAGCCCACCCACCCCCCCAGGCGGGGAGTGGTAATTTCAGCGAAACCCGGAGGACGCAGCGTATCTCCCCAATCGGGGGTAAGTCAACCAGTGGGTTCAAGGCGATGCTAGTGGGGATGGGGATCGGTCGAGCGATGCTCATAAAGGGAGGAACATCGACTAGACGTAACAGTGACCCTCCGCTGGAGTGGCCTGTGGTGCGGGACCCAACGGGGTCCCCCGATCGCGAAGTGCGAAGCGGTGGCGGCGGCTTGCGCACCTGTCTTTGGCCCCCTCGCGCTCCCCCTCAGGTAAAGCTGCGCACCAAAGGCCATTCTTGCCCAGGGTGACGATGCTCGTAAACCAGCTGCGAGCTCCCAAATCGGCGGCGAGCCCAGAGGGGAACAGAGAAGGGGCGGGCGTTCTCAGAAGGCTCGCAAGTCCCCCCTGCCTTTCTGAGAAGTTGTCTGAACCTGCCCCGCAGACACAGGAAGCCTCTCAGAATGCGCGAGGGCTTCTGAGAAGGCCTGCCGCCCTCCTTGCAAGGCCTTATCCTTCTCACTTCCCCCCAGGCGCGCCGCCGCATTCAGGCTCTGGATCATAACTCGGGTCTCCGGCGGACGTTCGGGACGATCCGGGCACCCCCAGAACGCTCTCGGCGAGGCGCTGCTGCTAGCAAGCATCCCGAGGCTGGAAAACCGCCGAGAACCGACGAAAACACCCGAGAGCCGCCGAATAAAGGCAGGAGAATCAGCCCCAAGCCCCATGACTGGCGTCTGGTGAGCAGTCCTGGGCGACCGCGAGGCAGCACCGCCCTGCCCGGTTCTGCCTCCAGATACGCAAGTGGGTTTTTGCTAGAGGGATTCACGTTGCGAGAGAGGCGCGGCACGGACAACGACGACGACGACGACGACGACGACGACGACGACGACGACGACGACGACGACGACGACGGCGGCGGCGGCGGCGGCGGCGGCGACGAGGACGAGGACGACGACGACGACGACGACGACGACGACGACGACGACGACGACGACGACGTGGCGACCTGCTCGTTCTGCCCTCTAGGTACGGCATGCTGGCCATCTGCGAGGGCGGCGGCACGGCCAACGCGACCATCATCGAGCGGATGCCAGACTCGAAGCTGTGAGCCGCAGTCTCCGGGGCCCTGCCCTCGCCCCGAGGAGGTGCCTGTTTTGTGCCCCGTGCCTCGCCGCCTGCCTGCAGAGGTCCTGTCCACTCCTTCGCCGTCTCCTCCCCTCTCCTCGTCCCGCCGTCGCCGGAGCTCGCGCGCTCCTGGGAGGAGTAGAGAGAGTGAGGGAGGGAGGGAGGTTGGGAGGGAGGGAGGGAGGGAGGGAGGGAGGAGGCGGAGGAGGAGGAGGTGGAGGAGGAGGAGAAGGAGGAGGAGGAGGCGGAGGAAGAGGAGGAAGACAGGGAGGACACTCATGAGACGGAGGAGGAGGAGGAGGAGGAGGAGGAGGAGGAGGAGACGAATCGGATCGGCTATCCACGAAAGTGCCCAATTCAGCTGCCGTCGGGAGTAACCCACTATGTTCAATACTGCTAGGGCCAGCACACTGGCCAATGAACGACATGTCCATCTGTCCGTGACAAGTATCCTTTGCAATGCGCTCGTACGGTTGTTGCCAAGAATCTCTCCCGTGACGGCAGGAGAGGAGGGAGGAGGAGGGAGGAGGAGGAGGAGGAGGAGGAGGAGGAGGAGAAGGAGGAGGAGGAGAGGACAGGAGAAATGAGATGAAGGAGTACCCGCATCTTCCTCCTTCTCCACCTCATCACTCAATCCCTCCTCTCCTCTCCTCTCCTCTTCCTCCACCACCACTTGCCATTCTGAATAACTCTTCCCTGTCGCACCCGCAGGCGTGTTGGTAGGCTCGGCAGGACGTTTCTCCTGCGACCTACTCTCTAGTTATAACCCTGCAGCTTGAAACCTGGGACAGTTTCGCGGATGGAGAGATGGTGGTTTTCAATATTTAGTTCCCGCCTTCGCGCGGCGGATTTTCGTCTTACGAGTTGGCAACAACGTCAATGATGGAGCGTGGTTGGTCTTCAAGTTGTAGTTCTCGCCTTGGCGCCGCGCACTGCCGTCTCAAAAGTTTGCACCAGTTTCAGCGGTGAAGGGCTGGTGGTTTTCAACATGTGGTTCTTGCCTCAGCGTGGCGCACCTCCGTCTTCCAAGACGGCAGCCATTTCACTGGCGGAGGGCGGGCCGTTCTCAATAAGTTAGGGTTCTCGCCTGATCGCCGTGCACATTCGTTTCAAATTGTTGCATCGGCTTCACGGGTGGAGGGCCCTCCGTTTTCAACCTGCAATGCTCGCGATCGTGCCGCGCACATTCGCCATAACAGTTTGCAACAGCCGTAGCAACTTGTCATGCTCAGAGTGTGTTCATATTGTGTTGATCGCTTTGGTGTCGCGCGCTTTTCTCTTACAAGCTAGCAGCAAGTTCAATGATTGAGAGTGGGTGGTTTTCAAAATATTGTTCTTGCCGTCGCGCTGTGCACCTTCGCCTTGGAAGTTCGCAACAGGTTTACGGATCCGTATGTTTGAAGTCCCAGGAACTCTACTTTGGCACGAATTTGGATTGTCAGGGCGCAACAGACATCTTTATTCGCTTTGCTGAAATCCCAGGGAAGGGGGTGTTCTGGCGCGACTTCGGAGTATCAGAACGCATCAGTCGCGCTGATTCGCGGGGCTAAAGTCCAGGACTTGCGTTTTCGCAAGAGTGGGGGGATTATCAGACGGTTGTCCTCCAATGGGACACATCCCGCAATCAAGAAATAGTGTAGGGACCTATGAGGGGGGAGCCCGGAGGGAGGGCGTATACCAACATCGTTGATGCGCCTCGGGTGTCCTTCTCCACCTCCTCCTCCACCGCCTCCTCCTCTCTCCTGTTCTCTAGCCCGCGGGCTTTTGAAAGGCTGGGCGCCCTCTGGGCCCCTTTCTGGCTCCTTGGGGGGCGCCGTGGCCCGCCCACAGCCCCGCCAGGCCCTGGGGCGGGGGCTTCCCGGGAGCAGCTAGGGGCGGGCCCTCCGTGTCGGCGGCCGAGTTCCGCTGCCAATTCCCCAAGGGCAGCGAGGTACCTGGTCCGGAAGGCCGAAGCAGGAGGATGATGATGGTGATGGTGATGATGGTGATGAGGAGGAGGACGAGGAGGATGAAGATGATGATGATGATGATGATGATGATCACGAGGACACGAGGATGAGGATGAGGATTGTGACGATGGTTATGTTGATGATGTTGTTGTTGTGGATGTGATGTTGGTGATGATGATGTTGATGTTGGTGTTGCTGCTGCTGATGATTATGATGATGACGACGACGACGATGATGATGATGATGATGATGATGATGATGATGACGATCCTGATGATGACGATGGTGATGATCACAAAGTGTCTGCTGATGATGATGGTGATGGTAATGATGTGACGATGATGCTGGCGATGGTTATGATGCTGATGGAGATGACGTTGCCGACGATGATAATGATGATAATGATGACGCTGCTGATGATGGTGATGCCGATGGTAATGATGATGGTGGTGCTGATGCTGATGATTGCGATGTTGCTGACGATGATGATGATGATGATGATGATGATGATGATGATGATGATGATGATGATGATGATGATGATGATGTTCGTGATGGCGATGACGATGACGATGACGATGACGATGCTGACGATCATGATGATGATGATGATGATGTTGATGATGACGATGATGATGCTGGTGATGACGACCATGATGAAATGACTGATGTGGATGTGCTTAGTATGGGGACCATGACGGAGATGAGTATGAGGATATTGATGAGGAGAAGGAGGAAGACAAGGAGCAGGTGGAGCAGGATATGGAAGCTGATAATGAGACTGTTGGAGAGGAAAAGGACGAAGATGATGAGGAGGAGGGGGGGAGGTGGATTATGAGAAGGAGGAGGGGGGGGTGAGAAACAGATTAAAGGGAGGAGGGGAGCCAACACATAGAGACGCAGATGGATTGGAAAGAGCTGGAGGAGATGGAGGGTTCAGGAGCAGGAGGGGAGGAGCTTCGCCAGTCGGCCGCGCTCATGCCTGGCTGCTCTTGGGCGCCCTCCCCCTGGCCCTCACGGTGTCCAGGCCCAGCCCGCATCGCGCGCCCGTCCGTTCCCGGCGCCGGTGCGGCCAGACTTTTATATACGCTGCTGCTCCTGACAACGCAGGTCGCCCTCTTCCTCCCTCCCCCTCGCCATCCCTCCCCCTCCCTCGTTGCCTTTCTGCCTCGATCCATCCAGCTCCCACTCTCCCCCCGCATCTCTCTCTCTCTCTCTCTCTCTCTCTCTCTCTTCCGCTACATACATCCCCATCTCCCTCGTTCTCTCTCCCTCCATCTCTTCATTTCTCTCTCTCTCTCTCTTTCCTTCTCTCTTTCTCTCTCTGTCTCTTTTTTCCTCCTCCCGCTGTCATTAGTATGTATGTATATCCAGGTCCTTCTGTCTGTAGTTCTTGCTCTTTCTCAAACTTCCTCTTCCCCCTTCCTGTCACTCCCTCCCTCACTTTCACCTTCTTGTTTCCTATCCCCCATTTGCTGCCAGCGCGGTGAACAACCGAAGAGTCGTTCGTAAGTGCGCTGGTTTGGGGCCTTTCGTATGCCTGCATCGATGTGAGGGCTTCTGAGGGGAGGCTCCACTAGCGCGCTCGGGGCGTGTGTCATCAAAACGCTCAAGTCGGGCATGCCTTTCTACATGAGGAGTACTCAAGAAGAGTTAAAAAGGTAACCTGGTTACGATGTCCTTGTTCTTCGCTTAAACATAGTTATTTATGTCTTGGCTATGTATGCTTTATGCTCTTTCCACGATCCGTGTGTAGCCCGACCTAACAAAACCCACACGCACACGCACACGCACCCCCCCCCCCCTCCCCCCTCCCCCCCCCCCCACCCACCACACACACACACACTCACACACATACACACACTATCCAGTGGCCTTCGGCCCATACTGCCATCGTGCCTGCATTGTTGTCCAGAGGCCTCTTGGATGCAAAGGAGGGTCTCGTGGGATGCCTCTCGGGCCCCCTTGGAGGGCCCATAGGGGCCTCTTGGATCCTTGCCTGTTCATGGGCCCTCTTGAGGCTGTCTTGAGGCCCTCTTGGGCCGTCGTGGGGCCAGCTCGGAGGCTTCTTGGGCCGTCTTGAGTTCACAAAAAGCCAGAAAGGTGAGAATGCGATACTCAATCAAACCCCGTATGGGGAATCAATGCTGTTATCAGATTGGGGCCATGTTGGAGGTCATCTCCGAGCCGTCTTGAGAGTCTATCCTGGGTCCATCTTGGGCCGTCTTGGGGCTATGCCGGGCCGTCTGAGGGGCAGATTGTGCCCTCTTGGCGGCAGGCTTGCCTGAGCCGTCTTGGACGCCATCTTACAGTGGACGCCATCTTACAGTGACGTGCCCACGCCAAAAATGAGAGTGGGCGTCCTGGGGTCTCGGGGTTGGGTTTCTTGTGCACGGTTTCTTGTGGTCGGGCCCCTGCT